GGCCTTCCCCTCCCGTGAAGCAGCCGTTGCCGCCGCCCTCCCGCTGCTCAGGGGACACGAGGCCCCGGCCAGGCCCTCGCCTTGCAGTCAGAGCGTGCCAGGGCGGCAGGGACGTCCAGGATCATCTGGTCCAACCTGCCTAAGTTGAAAGGCACCGTGTCCGTGGGGGGATGTAAGGAACTGCTCTCGGAGCAGCCCCCGCTGAGGTGCAGTTGTTGGGAACGAGGGGATGGATGGAGGAGCAGGTGAGGTGAAACCCCAGAGTGTTGGCGGGAGGAAAATCCGTCGCTGTCTCGAGTGGGACGCGGCCGGAGCGTGTCCAGGCCTGGTGGGGAAGCGGCCGCAGCGTGGGCCGACACGGAGCCTAAGCTGACAGAAATGCTTCACGTGCAGCCCGAGCATCAAAGCGCAGATTTTCCTGCCCTGCTGACATGCCAGGCAGGGCAGGCTCTAATTGGACTTCAGGTCTCTCACTTAAGGCTTCTGCAGCACCCCAGTGCAGCCAGCTAGAAATCCTGTGGCTGCTTAATTGAGGCAGCCAAATAAAGCCTCCATAGCTTTTCTTGAGCTACTAAATACTACGTTTGATCTGTTCATTGTTGTTATTTATGTATGTAGATCTGAAGTCCTCACAAGAAAATGCCGGGGAGGCCATAAGGGAGCAGGATCTTTTTTTTTTCTTGTTTCTGCATAACAGACATCTTTAGTGGAGGAGTTCATTTACATGAACTCACTGTGCAACACCTCTAACAGAAACATTGTGCAGAGCCACATTGCTGCACAGTTTGTCGTTTGTGTGTGTGTTCATGGTTTTCTTCAGCAAAAAAAGACAGCTGTGGTTTTGTACCAAGGGATAGTTCCTCACATGGAGGCTGTGATGAGCATACATTGTCTTCACAGGGTCCGTTCAGCACCTGGGCTCTTTGTGTCACTTCTGCCCCTCCACTCCCAGAGTGTGGCTGGATCACATCATAAACTATGTATGAAAAGCACCATTACATTTCATATAAATTTTATCCACAGAAACAGTTTGTTTTGGTTGGTGTTTTTTTTTTAAGTTCCTACAACATGCAGCTTGCTTGTTACCTACCAAGCAGTGAAAAGACAGGCCCTTTGTGCTGTTTATTCACATGCTGCTCCTTCGCCCGGAAGAAATACCTGTTCCTTAGGACATAGTGGCTTTGAAATAGGATACTGCCTGAAATCATTACTGTAACATCAAACTTCAAAGGAGACGCTACTGGGTTGGAAGGGAAGGTGTACTCATGAGTTAATCCTTTGGTAAGAAGGTACTAACATTTAACAAATAACAAGGTGAAGCATACATGTAATCAGCTCTCCTCTGCCACCAGCTTTTAATATCCTGCAGCCCTACAGAAAGGTCATTTGGTGGAATTACGGCAGCAAAGACAAAAGAATCGCTTTTCCCAGTCCTCTACTTTACTTATTGAAGCTGGTAGCATGCTATAGTTGAACTATTTTAGTCTTACTAGTTGAAGTATATTTAACTCTAACTAATTATGTAACAGCTCAATAAAAATTTGTTTTGTTTTTTTTTAGAAGATCTCTGATCTGTACAATCTCTCTCATCTAAACACACCCCAGAGTGAAATGAAACAAGTGTTCTTATTCCTACCAACCACCAAGTGTCCACAGCGGTGTGTGATGTTAACTCCTCTCTCATCTCTTCAAACTCATTTCAGTGCTGTTTGCTCATGCAGCCTGTCTGGTCCCAGAACGCTTGCTTGCATTTCTTGGTTCTTCCAGAGGCCTCCTTGATTATCTCTATCTACTCCTAGTCTAAACATTCAGCATTAATAACTGTGCTGGTTGCTGCAGGGCAGAGCTTGCCACATTTGTTATTAACAATAAGCAATGAGAATTAATTACCTCTGATTAATTCAGTGGTGAGCAACTTACTTCAGATGATTTTAAAAGAAGGAGATGGCCCCAGGACATGGTGTTGGGCCGTTGTGGAGAGAAGGGGGTTGCCTTCTCTCTCTGGAGAGAAAGGGGTTGACCTCCCTGTTGCTGTTTGTTCCTTGAGCACCACAATCCCCTCGGTTTTCCAGCTCTGTTGTTGCAAACTGGTGCTCCAGTCCTGGAATTCGGAGCAAACAGGGCTCTGCACAGACACAGCAAACCTCCCACGGAATTCTTGCTTCACAAAATGGAGTTGGCCTCTAGATAGTTTGCTGCTTGTCCAGACACAACTCCGCTTTGTCACACCCACTGAATGCCCTCATTCTGCATCGCCTTGGCAGGCCTGTGCTCACAGGCAGAGCTCATTGCAGGGCTTGTGCTTCAAATGTTTCAAGTATTAATATCCATGGGTAATTTTGCATAAATGAGTAGTGCCGTTTAGTGCATGATGGAGGCCTTTCTTCCCTACGCCAGGCTAGGAAATGTTTTAAGATAAAAACATACACCAGTTACCAGAAAACTCTGCTATATACTGTGACAACTGTTCATAAGACATTGTCAGTTAGTTGCAGGATAATGCAGACCTTTCTTTCTTTAATTCTGAAGACTATGTGGAAGTAAACAAGCATGAAATCAGCATGGCCACAGTATATAATCCTCAGACTTCACCCTTCCGTTGACCGACAGCTAAAAGCATATAATAAATTTAAGAATATTCCCCAGCATGTCTGCCTTAAGGAATGTGATTTAGAGGCTTAATCTCCATAGGTTTTATGATTCATCGCATTTGATAGACAAAGATAAATTTGAAATATGGCCTGTGTGCACTGCTGTAACTCCACTGACATGAGACATCATCAGCTTCCATTTGTATTCTATTCCTTAAGTATTTATATCTCCCATTATTTAATTCCTCACAATCTTTAAATGTATTTCTCTTCTCAACAACTGAACAAACTCAGGAAGAACTGTCACAGTTAGGAAAGTGAATAAAAAAGGTATTCTGCTCTGGGCTTGCAGGAAGACTGAGCACACCTCTTGCCAGTACCCTGACCCACTGCCTCATGCTGCTTCCCATTTGCACATGGTTTGCTAATAAAATTAATACAGAATGTTCCCACTTAAAGACATCTCAGCTGTCAAAATACAGTATTAAATGAGCTGCTGTTCAAAGTAATTTTATAGACAAGCATGTGGGCCCCGAGTCTTTTTAAAGTAGATCTGAAGGCCATGTTTTACAGCATCCTTAAAGATGAGTTGTCACAACATGTTGGTATTCAGGCTGGGGGTGAATTAGTTTTGGATCTTTGTATTTTCTTGTAAAAGGCTGTGCTGCTCTTTTTATCTGCATCACAAATTCAAATAACTGCTTTATGAATTCATCTGCAGTTGAGTTTTATCCTTCAGAGCATCACCCTGTACCTAGGATCTTCATTTGCATTCATCACTGAGGATGAAAATAAAATTTAGCTCTAATTCAAAGGCTAATTTAGATTTCAGTCTATGATTAACATTCCACATACAATTACTCCCATCAGAGTCAAGCATATGTATAAATCTGCAGGACTGGGGCCAAAACATTTTTAAGTACCCACTTATTCAATACATTTCATTTAAGAATTATTCTTACCTATTATTTATGCAAGGGCCTTAACTAGGTACATTTTGACACAGCTAAATCTCTGTATAATTACTAATTTTCTTACTTGTCATCTAGCTTCTACTCTGTGCATTGTTAGCTAATTCTGCCAGCAGTTGGGTATGAACACAGGTCACTAACTGTAGAGAGAACATTGGTTTTCTGCATGAGTGTTCACAGGAGCAGCAGAAGTAAGCAGCAAACAATCTCAAAAAACTAGGTTTTCAGGAAAATGTGTAACAACCCCAATAGATAACAGCATAGACTGTATAATTTGGTAAAACAAACCATTAAAAAGAATACTAAATCATAAAAAGCTATACTATATTAAAAATTATTACAGTACATACAGGAAAATTATTGCAGTACGTACAGGAAAAATACTATTTTTTCCATTAAAATACCATCATTCAAGTACAGAGAAGTTCAGCCAGTCCACTTAAGACAGAGTGGAATCACCAGAACTTTAATACTATATTTTTTGCATGCAATATATACATAATTAAACAGTTTAAAAACATATACAAGTGTAGTATGCCTAATGTAAATGCAGCCTCGCTGTGGATTGTGTCTATCAGTAGGTTCACAGCACCAGTCATAACATTTGCTAGCAAGAAAAACAGTAACTGGTTTTTATTAATAGCACTAATCAGGCAAATGTGTTCCGGGCTGCCTGCCCTCCCTGCGGGCACCGGCTCCCTCTCCTGCTTCCCACTGGCAGTAGGGGGCTCTACAACGTCCCAGCAGCAGGGCACGCTGGACCCCTTCACAAGCAGCTTTGTGAACACCAGCATCAGGTCGGTGGCCACAAAACAGATGAAGAAAGTCAGAGAGTGAGCCAGCACCCAGAGGCAGAAGGAGAGGTTGGCCATGCGGCGGGACACGGGCCCCGCGTACGCCTGCGACAGCCGGAGAAACGCGAAGAGCAGGAGCAGGGTCTGCAGTGAGGAACGCCCCGTGGCCATCCAGCCCCTGACTGAGCTCTGGCAACTCAGCAGCCACAGCCCCACTTGGACACTCGCCATGTATATGGCCAGATATCCAAAAAGAGAGAGCAGTCCTTCCCTATTGGCGTTCAAAAAGCCAACGCGGGTGCCTCTGCCATCGCTCCCGTGCAGGATAAACGTCTTGAGCGAGGTAGAGTTCAGAGTAAGCTCATAAAGAACAGCAAGGTTTATAGCAACAATCCATGATTTGTTTTTTGGAAAGATGGCTAAAAGTAGAGATGCTGCAAGCCTCACAAATGCTAAGGTGAAGAAAAAATTCCAGTGCACTCCATACTCTGAAGTGTGCTCTTGATAGTCTATAGATTTAACGCTAAGCAGTCGTCCCACACCAAGGAGAATCAACGGCCAGACAGAAAAGAACTGCCTGGCCAGATTGGAAAATTTTGGTTGTGCCACATCAGACTTCTGTCTCACCTCAGGACAGACGAGAGCGTTTCCAAAAATAAAAGCTCCAACCCCCAGATCCATGACTCCTGTTCCATAGGTCTCGGCTTTGGCGTAACGCCTCGGGTACTGCGGGAAATCCACTGCTAAAATGCTGATTGATGTCAACACGTTGACATAAACACGAAACACGGTGATTGCTGGGATGTATTCTGGATCCAAGGATGTCTTCTGGAAGTCTCTTACAATTTGCCTAAAAGGCACTTTGGTCTTATGTTTTCTTTGGCTGTATATTTTGGAGAATATCCCAGCACAGGAGGCTGCGAGGATAGCTGGCAGGAAAAACAGGACTGGAGACAAGACTGTACAGGAGAACAGGAGAGGAGACACTAGCACAAGGAAGTCTAGCAGCAAGCTGTATTTCCTTGAACTTAAAGGCTTCCCATAGTGCAGGTAATACAGAACCAGGAGGAGCCCCCTGCAAAGCAGGCAGAGGGGGGGCAGGGACAAGCCCACCGAGATTTCCAGCAGGCTGGTTCCATTTAAGTTGCTGATAAAGGCTTCTTTCAGGTGTTTTTGTGACATTCTTCCTCTGGAAACACAAATGTGAGCTCGAGTTAGGTTTAGGGGTCTTAGAACTCCATGAAAAATGGATCTTATGTAGGGGGTTCATTAAAACACCCACTGATCTCAGTTCCGTCCAGTGAAACAAGCACAGACACTCGGCTGTGGCCTCCAGAATATACTGAGCTAGATTCTCGGTAGCGTTATTGAGCAGATAAGTAAGAACATGACCTTAATGAAGTTCCTGTTGCCTGGCCAGCCGAACGCGAGCGATAAAACCAGCCGCTAAAATCCCCGATTGCGACAGAAACGCCGCTTTAAACAAGCCGCGGTCCCGCAGCCCAGCCCGGCTCCTTCGCCCGTGGGGGCTGTTCCGAGAGGTTATATGTAAAAAGCATCAATTAGAAAGTCGGAATTGCTGGCTGGTTTGTGTAGCCCGCAGCGCGGGCGGCACCAGGACGCCGTTCGGTTCCCGCGCTCGCTCGCCCTGCCCGGGCAGCCGGTCCGGGGGGATCCCAGCCCGGCACCGGGGGGGGG